GGTTGCAGGAGCTGGAGCTGGAGCGGCTGCAGGAGCTGGGATTGGAGTAGCGGCAGGAGCTGGAGCTGGAGCGGCTTCAGGAGCTGTAATTGGAGCGGCTGCAGGAACCGGAGCTGGAGCGGCTTCAGGAGCTGTAATTGGAGCGGCTGCAGGAACTGGAGCTGGAGTGGCTGCAGGAGCTGGAACTGGAGCGGCTGCAGGAGCTGGAACTGGAGCGGCTGCAGGAACCGGAGCTGGAGCGGCTGCAGGAACCGGAGCTGAAGCGGCTGCAGGAACCGGAGCTGGAGTGGCTTCAGGAGCTGTAACTGGAGCAGCTGCTGGAACTGGAGCTGGAGTGGCTGCAGGAGCTGGAACTGGAGCGGCTGCAGGAACCGGAGCTGGAGCGGCTGCAGGAGCTGTAACTGGAGCGGCTGCAGGAGCTGGAACTGGAGCGGCTGCAGGAACCGGAGCTGGAGCGGCTGCAGGAGCCGGATCTGGAGCGGCTGCCGAGTCCACCGTAGGGGTCACAGTGGCCGTTGGATCTGTCACAGGGCTTGGAGTGGCCGCAGGGTCTGTCACTAAGTTGATAGCAGTATCAATGGCAGCTCGATAGGCATGAGCCAGGCCCCAGCACGTTACAATGATTTGTGTTACTTTGGAACTGCCAGAATCATGACACCTTTTTTTCAAGCATTCTGCCAGTTTTTGAGGATTTTGCCATTGCTCAGGGGTGAATTTCCAACACACTCGGGGTGCCAACTGCTCTAGATGCCTGCCCATATCCACCCATACTCCCTGCCACCCACAACTATCCTGCCTCCGGGCAGATCTCCGGATGAGCTTCCCAAGTAGTTGTTTAACTTTAAGCAGAACCTGAAGTGCATTCATGAGGCAGAACAACAAGACTATGGTATTCTGAGTATCCCAATAATATTCAATATCTTGGAGAGCTATTTTGACAAGCTCAGGGGATAAGAGGGTGGTGAAGGAGGAAGGCAGAGTGATCCAGGAGGATACAGGGGTGGTGAAGGAGAAAGGGAGAGTAATCAAGTAAGAAAATTATCTTCCCCTTTTCCCTCCACAGATTGACTCTCTAATGGAGAAAAACAATAGGTATAATTGCTAATAGTTCCCAAGATACTGTTTCCAAAGTACAGAGTCCACGATATTACTGAGTATGAATACCAAGTTAGAGTCATGACCAGATATCTTATCGTCTCATAAGCCATTGCTATAACACTCAGTACCATAATGATCTGAAACCAGGGCCCAGAGAGGATAAACAACACTACAGAGAGAAAATACGGAAAATAATGTACTATAATACTCAATTTGGAAAACAGGCGCAGCAGAGTTGAGATTAAAGCAATCAGCATCATGACAAGTGACTATTAAGCAGGTCTAATCCTTACCACCAATTTTAGTTTAACACACTCTGATCAGATCTGCTGTTATCTCAACCTTTCGGGCCCACGTTGGGCGCCAAAAAGGCTGTCGTGGTTTAACCCGGCCGGCAGCTAAACACCACGCAGCCGTTCGCTCACCTCCCCCCTCCCTCTCTGGGACGGGGAGAGAAATGGAGAGTGAAGCCCGTGAGTTGAGATAAAGACAGTTTAATAAGACAGGAAAATAATAATAACAAAAATAATAATAACAATAATAATAATAATGATACAATGGTGATAATACGAAAGTAATAGTATGTACAACAAGTGATGCACAATGCAATGCTCACCACCCGCTGACCGATGATGCCCAGCCTAACCCCGAGCAGTCCGGCCCACTTCCCCCGGCTAGCCACCCCTATATATTGTTTAGCATGACGTCAGATGGTATGGAATACCCCTTTGGCTAGTTTGGGTCACCTGTCCTGGGTCTGTCCCCTCCCAGCTCTTACTGCACCCCCAGCCTGTCCGTTGGCAGGACAGAGCAAAGGCTGAGATGTCCTGGCTTAGTATAAGCACTGCTCTGCAACAATTAAAGCATCGGGGGTGTTATCAGCACTCTTTCTCATCCTAAGCCAAAACACAGCATTCCACCAGCTACTAGGAAGAAAATTAATTCTGTGCTAACTGAAACCAGGACAGAATGTCAAAACCCTGGTATCTGTAGTCAAATCTGTATCAACCTGAAAGGTGGCTACAAATGTGAATGTAGCCGTGGATATCAGATGATTCCTGCTACAGGAACTGGGAAAGGGCCATACCGGTACAAAAATACAAATAACACCTGTGATTACAATGACACTGCAAAGCAGGGTTTAGGGGTTCATAGTATGGAGACAAGGCGTAACAACTACAGTGTTTGGAACAATTGTACAGCTTTGGCCTTACCTCCTGATGTTTTTCTGATTTGTGGGGATAAGGCCTGGCAAGGTATTGCTGCAAATGCTATCAGATGTCCATGTTACTTAGATAAATTCACTGTATTTGCTCCTAGCTTGTTACAGTTGTGTGAGATCACCAGTTCTTTTCTTGCAGGTGGGGTTGTTTTCTTATAGTTTTTCGTCTGAGTGCTTTTGACCAATAATCTTGTGTGAAACACTGTCCGCCCCTGTAAAGTTCACTATAAAAGTTAGGCTATTCGGGCAATAAAATGGAGCAGCATGATCTGACTCAACTGGTGTCTGTCGTGCTTTCGGCCGTGCTTCGCAACAAAAGGAGATGTAACCCATCTGGTTTTCAACTTGCAGTTTACTTCCAGCAACAAAGACAACTTCACTTAGAATAGAAGGGGCAGATGCACCCATAACAAACGCAGCACTTAATGTAATGCTCTCCTATTTCGTATTTATAGAAAATACTCTATTAACCACGATGCTCTTAACATCTCTGCTCCTTTAACAGGGTAGGAAGTACAACTGCTTGTTTTCAGCTGTGGTAAACTGGTACCACAAGCGAGATACAACTTCTAATTTGTCTCTAAGTGTGTGGGGGGGGCGGACTTGAGGAGTTGTAGAAAAATGAAAGCTTCTATCTTTGTTGCCTCGCTTTTAATTACTTCAGAACATGGAACTATTAAATTACAATATTGCATGTTCTTTTAGAAATAAGGATAAGGTGTAGGTCACTTAAAAGCTCACAATTTCTTAGTGTCTTGGACACGCGAAAACTTGTGGACTACTACAGTTTAAGAAATGAAGAAGACTCTATCGTAGTCCCCTTGGCTTATGTATCCTCTGTCATGCTAAAACAATTGAGACACATCAGAAATGAAACTCCCGAGTTGTGAATTAATAATATTAAAGCGTTGACAGGGTGAGCATCTAAGAAAACTGACCTCAAAGTTAAGATTATTCTTGCCCCTCCCTCACATTTTTTCTAGCTGACGGACTGCAATAAACTGAGCGTTTGCAGCTGCATTCCTTGAGAAAGACAGAAGACAGATTCTTTCAACCATGGCAAACCAGGTAAGATCCTGTGGTGAGAAATTCAGGGTTTGTAGTGTCATAAATGGATCCAGAACCATCACTCAGAATTCCTAGTAAATAAGTAAAGCTGAAATGGCTGGCTCACTCTGCAGTGGGTGTTTCTAGTCCTGTGACTTTCCTCTGCTAATTTGGTAATTGGTGGTTGTCCTCTGGATGCTTGATTACTAACAACCGAAGCAGGTTGGGGGCAAAACGTAAGTCTTGCAGTTTGGATTATTTGAGCATGAGTTCTTCTGAAGGATCTTGTGAGTAACACTCTCTAGGTAAAGTTATGTAGAGGTGTTCTAGAGGAAGAACCTAACTAAAGCCTGCGTAAGTAAAAGCTACTGAAAACCGCCAATCATATTTTTGGAAATCCTTGTTCTTCAGAATACTAAATGAGGGAGGCAACCTGTGTGGTTATGGCTGTTCTCGCCTCTTTTCTGTAGTTATCACACTTCCTTTTTAACTGTGGCTTTTGGGGTGCTTTTGTTTTTTGTTTTTGTTTTGTTTTTGGAGGCACTTTTTTTTATGCCTCTTAGTTCCTGGCCTTGCATCTGGGTTTTGAGTTTTCCCCTCAGCCAAGTTAGTGCCTGTTCCTGGTTCTTGCTTTCTCCTTGCGTTCCATTAATGGGCCTCCTGTCGTCATTCCGGCCTGAGAGAGTGACTGGCAGCTAGGTAGTGAGGAGAGGCATCTCACATAAGGAAGAAGAATTCCTAGGAAAGGGGAGACAGGGACAGAGAGATTTCTTCTGAGCAGGAGTGATGATTCCTGCATGTTCATCACTCACTGTGCTACTGAGACTTTTTTTTTTGAGAGTCCAAGAGCTCAAATTGGAGCACAATCCAGTCCTAAGCTAATTAACGCATAGGATTGACCAGCATCGAAGGGCTAACTGCTTTTTTCCGAATTCCAAGAGGAAGCTGCAATCCTTTAGCCAGCTTGACAAGTCAGGGGAATATGGCTGTTCATACAATCCTTTGGCTCTGTTATTTTTTGCCAGGCGTTTTCCCCAGAGGCTGCTTTCCCTCATGGGAGGCGGAGGGAGAAATGGGACCCCAGGCTTCTTTCAAGGGCAAGGTGAATATGGGGAAATCACCTGTGGTGATGGGGAGTCGGAGGGAGGAATGTAAATGAGGCTAATACTATAGAGGTGTTTTTTTTATCCCAACAGGACTTGCTTGGGAAAAAACGAGAATGCCTCCAGGCCTACAGCTGGTGGAGAAACCACAGAAAAAACAAAAGAAAAGGAACAAAATAAACCCAGGAAGAATAGAGTTTGTTAGTAGTAGTAGTTCAGCCAGGTAAAAACCTTTTGAAATTGAGAAACTCTGCCTTACCTGTTTGAATTGGTAGCGAATGCCATCACTCACTTTTCAAATTCCAAAATGGCTGGTGTGGTTGGTAAATGTTGCATTGGCAATACGTGTCTATAAATAATGGTTTATTTGCAGTTGCTGTCTCCCATGATCACTGGGAAGCAGTATTTCTACTGCTACTAGTCATAGCTCCTTTGAATCGTGGCTGTGGTTTAAGTTGATCATTTTTCTCGGTATTTTTATGCTGCTTTCTTGTTCAGACAATAAACTATGCTCTTCTTGAAACAAACTGTGCAAGTTGTCAGAAAATGGGTCCTTGTTGCTGAAACAGTAGAATAGACCCAGAGTAATGGAAAACTTTAGATTAGAGTGGTGGCATTGCAATTTTCTACGCAACTCAGTAGAGTTCTGTACTTAGTACTCCTAACAGATTTCTCTTTTTTAGTCTGATGATAACTAACTGTGAATATAATGGGAATCAGCTATCTTAGTCTTGAACCTTAAAATTGTTCTTTCTCTCTCTCTTTTTAAAGACCAGATTATTCAATATTTGTTGGGGAGCTTACCCCAGAAGTGGGTGATTTCCAGCTCTGTGACTATTTCCTAAAGAGGTATCCCTCATGTATTGACTGCAAAATAGCAACAGACCTGCTGGGATATTCCAGGTAATTCCAGTGCAAATGTGTAACGTTATCAGTGTGTTCGCTTTTATAAGCGATATGTAAGAGCTTGCGTCGGAGCTGTTCCAGTGCTTTTTTTCTGGGGCACGAAGAGTGAGATTAGTCTTTAGCACTGCTTTTCTTAATAGCACAGATCCTTGAGTGTTTTTAAGAGCTTTCCAGTTAGTTCAGGCAGTTACTGTGATAAGCTTCAACTTACCCATATGCATATCTACATGGGGGAAAAAAAAAAAAAGAAGAACTAGAAGCTGTGGGAGGAGGAAGAGCTGTGCACTGAAATCAGCGCTGCTGTGTGTCTACTTAGTCATCTGCAATACTGAAGACAAAATAATTCCTACTTTGTTTGGGGAAAAACATAAGCCCTGGCAAATCTTAGGGGGTTGGGGGATGGAACCTAATGTTAGTAGTAAATAAAGTCTAGCAGAAACTACTGGCCATGCAGTGAGTCAAGCAGGAATGAGCGAGTTTGCTGTTCAGACAATGCTGCCTGTAACAGACTAATTCAAGAACCTTCTGAGAAAGCAGATAAAAAAGAATGCTAGTGTTATGCAGTGGTAGGAGTGGGTTAATGCTAACTGATTAAACTGCTGTATATGCAGAAATATGGAATCTGATTACTTACGCAGATAGCACTTAAAATGTATTGTTTTGCTGGCTCTTAGCGAGTTGCATCTTAATGCTACCAAGGAACAAGCTTTTTGCTTCTGGCCCAAGTTTTTTAATTTGGTGAAAGCCTTTTCTGTGCATGTGCACATGCCGGAGAGGTTGCTTAAGTAATGGAAGCTCTAGTAGCTGCTATCTTGTTTTTTTGTAGAAGACAGAAATTGAATTCATTAGTTTTGTAACTGTTATGCATACTAGAATTTGTTTTCTCCCTTTTGAAAATTGTAGAGGGTATGCCTACGTCAGATTTGGTGAGCAAGGTGATCAGATGAGGGCACTGCAAGACTGCCAGAATGCACCAGGTCTGGGGGGAAAACGAATCCGGCTGAGCATAGGAATTTCTAAAAGGTAACCAATGAGTTGTGCATTGATACAGTTATTCTAAATAATCAGATTCTTGTAGTTCTGCCTTTGTAAAGTCTGTGGCCCTTGCTGTAATGGCTGTACACAGGATGCAGTCTACAAAACCAAAAATGCAGAAGTGCTATGTTTTGACTCCCTGGATTCATCAACCTGTTTCAGGATGGCTGGGGAATCCACCTCTTATGTCTAGCCAGACAGTGTCACTTGGGCTTAGCTGCCATTGTGACCAGCCTTGTTCTCAACAGTAGCAAAGCTGAATGCATTCGTAAATACTTTCAGGTTTGGGCCTATATGAAGTAGAAGGGACAACAAGTGGTTTTATACGCTGGGGAGTTCTTGTTCTTAGACAACTAATTCCCAAAATCTGGGAATGCAGGGAGAAAGCCAAAGGAGTTTATTACTAGAACAGGTGTAGAATATATTCTTTGCTTTTCATGAGCTTAGGGCAACGGGGAGTTTAAAGTTTAGCACTTCCTGAGAGGGTTTCTTACTCTACTGGCTCAGTTCTATCATTTATTTAGGGCAATTTAGGTCTCTGAATAGTTAAAGAACAGATACAAAATTTGATGAACTCTGATTCAGGATACTGACAAAAAGAGGACTTCATATAAACAATTCCAATATGTACACGAGGTTAGCTTGTGTGTTCTGTTAAACAGTAAAAAAATGACACTTGTTTCTGTTTACCTAGCATAATTCTGCAAATGTTGCCTCCTGCTTTAGAACAGAAATGCTCTTCTCCAACAGAGCACTGTCCAAAATGACAGTAATAGCCAAATGCTGAATATTAATTAAATAATAAAAACTCGAGACAATTGAACAACTGTCTAATTTTCTACAATATTTGTTCAAAATGCATCGCACACAGGACAACTCCTGATTCAAAGGTGGCAATTTTAACAGAAAAGACAAGCTACTAATACAGAAACACTAAAGGAAACGCATCTTGAATAGCAGCTCAAGTTGCTCATGAACGTACATTGAACGTAGTTGTTTTGTGGTTTTTTGTTTGCTTTTTTTTTTTTTGCTGTTTTGTTTTTAAATCAGAAGTGAAGTTTTTGAACAATGTGGATTTAGATTCTGCTTCTTTTAAACTGATAAAGTGAATGTCACAGATTTGCAGCTTTTGCAATATCTTTAGAACCCAAACTCTTTACTATTCTTTCTGCACCTGGGCTGAAGGTGGGACAGGAGCGTCGAGTTTTACAAACATTTCCTTTTCAATTCCACAAATTGTATTTACTTAAAATGAAACATTGACCATCTAGCTAGTTCTCTTAGTACCTCATTTACAGTTACATCCTAACACATAAAGGATGTTGGAATTGGCATACAGGACGTGGACATGTGCCCGTGGAACAATTGTTCGATCTGAGCTTGCTTTAAGCAACCAGGGGTAGGCCTTAGGAATCTCAGGGCCTGCTGTAGCTGAGCAAGCCAAGCTGCCAGAGTAACTGTGAGAAGCTCCCAGGGCAGTGACTCCCACATCGCCCAATTAAGGAACTCAGAAATACTGTTACCAGCAGCTGGCCTCAAGGACTAGGTCTACATGACCGCTAATCACAAAGGGGGTTGTTTTCCTGACTGCTAATCAAAAGGGGGGTTCTTTTCTTGCAGGTGGGGTTGTTTTCTTATAGTTTTTTGTCTGAGTGCTTTTGACCAATAATCTTGTGTGAAACACTGTCCGCCCCTGTAAAGTTCTCTATAAAAGTTAGGCTATTCGGGCAATAAAATGGAGCAGCATGATCTGACTCTGCTGGTGTCTGTCGTGCTTTCGGCCGTGCTTCGCAACAAAAGGAGATGCAACCCATCTGGTTTTCAACTTGCAGTTTTACTTCCAGCAACAAAGACAACTTCACTTAGAATAGAAGGGGCAGATGTACCCTAACAAACGCAGCGCTTAATGTAATGCTCTCCTATGTTCATATTTATAGAAAATACTTTCTTAACCATAAGTTTGTTGTTTGTTTGTTTGAAATAAAAATGCTAGCGTATTTTTTAAAAGGAGTTCATTATCTCACCAGGGTTTTTTAGAATGTCTAAGACGCTTCCTTCCTTTAGTCCTCATCCATATTTAAAGGGAACTCTGAAGGGACAGCAACAAAACCTTGTTTGTCCTCTTGCTCATTGTTGGTGGATGCGGATGAGCTAGTTTCTTTTGAAACAAAAGAAAACAAACAGCTGTCACAATGCGACCTACCTAGAGCACATTATACTCACTTGTGTTAGAAACAAGAATTTCCAACTTTCATGCTTCTCACGGAAGAACCTTCACCAATTCTACTTACTTTATAATGGTTTATAATTACAAGCAATAAAAACAGATCTGTCACTGGAAAAATACTGCGGAAGTCCAACACTGCCCGGAATTGCTAGCATGCACAGACAGGACAGGTTTAAGATTTAATAAAGAAGATAAGAAAAATCAGCACTTCAGATGTGAAGTGCTAAGATTTCAGTTACCTAGGGTAAGAAAGGACGTCACGGGCGTATCACTGGATCCAGAAAGCTCTGATGATTTTACAACGGGAACACTAAATGTAAACCCAATCTGCTATGAACAAGAGAGGTTTTTCAGAGCCACAGGAACGTCAATCAAATGCATACACAAAACCAAATCTGAAAGCTGGTCTTCACATTTGTAGCATGCATGCTGAATGACAAATTATAAGCCAGAAGCCTACATAGTTCTCTCCATCAAGGCAGATTCAGCTTTAGTGTTCTGCAACAGCCTACTAAATGCCTAAGAAAACAAGTCTAGCTTCTTTATTTACTTACAGGAAATGTAGATAGCACTTCTGCCTCCGTAGACTTCACAGTTAGAGATGAAAATCCAAACACAAGACTGCTAACACTACTTGTTGGCTGTATCTGTATTTTCAAAAGAATTCAAGGTTTACATTTAAGAGCAGCAACTACCTGAATTCACTACACAACACAAATCCTGCAGTGACGTTGAAAAGCTTGATGTTTCAGTTATTTTGCAGACAGAAGTAGTAATAAAACAAAGTCAAGTTTCCTAGTGGGTATAGGACAAAATCTTCACAACCAAATTCCAGAAACCCAGAGGAAAAGCTGGAGATGCTACTTAGGTCTAAATGCATGGAAAAGCAAACCAGGAAGCTGAAGAACGGTAAACTCAGCCCAATGATACTCCAAGAACTTCAGCAAACACCTCAACGTATTACATCAGCTACCTACTTCAAACCATACAAAAATATTTCAATTGCTCTGGAACAGATTGATGTTTATTTTATTGCAATAATATGCCAATTATTGCACCCTAGGCTCATTCTATGCAAGGCTTATACGACCACATTACCTCTAATTTAATAACTTCAATAAAGTTGTGGTTTAACCGTTGTAGGCAACTAAGCACCACACAGCCACTCGCTCACTCCCTTCAAGTGGAACAGGGAAAAGAACTGGAAACAAAGAAGTTGTTAAATTTGAGGTGCCATTAATGACTCATCACAGTAATGGCTACCTGGAAAGACGAATGCCATAACCCTGTACATACCCCAGCTCCTTCCCCTTCTTTCAACAACTGTACAGCAAGAACACTGAAAGTTAACTCAAAACCTGTGCAGAACAAAGAGGCACAGATCAGATTTTTCTTTTCCTTTCCTATACTTTGGTCATCAGAGCTCTAGAGAAGCATCATCCTTTCTAACTACCCTCACACCTCTTCAATTAAGAGTACACTCTCAAGACAAATGAGAAAGCGTTCCTCTTGCAAAATTAGGCAGGAGGGTTGCCAAAGTTTCTAAAGTCACTACAGCAGTGAACGTGGAAAAAGGTCATGTTTCAAGAAGCAGGTAGCTTCAACAACCAACCTAAACACAAAAAGCACCAAAGAAAGTCAGATTAGCAGCACTGAAGACTCTATTCTGGTAAATACAGCCCATACCATGTATCGGGACACAAATGCAAAAGTCAGAAAATGCTGTTTTCAAAACTTCCATTTTTATCCCTTCCACTTACTTTATTTGATTACTAAGATTGGATGAGTTATGTTTTAAATGACATAGACAATCTGATCAAAATTTCAACAGTACTATCACGATCTACTTAGAAATGACTAGGCAGGGACGTAAGGAGGTACTACTGATATTCAGTGCATAAGGCAGCCTACGTCTGTTTCACTGTTTTGATTTGAAAAATTTATGGAACTTAGGATATTTGGATCATGTTTGGACCATTTAATGTCCCATTTAATGTTTTTAAACTTAAATTAAATACTTAATATTAAATATTAAATGCTTTAATTAATAAATAACATTTAAATTAAAACTATTTAATTGTAAATACTTTAAATTAAATACTTAACATTAACTTAGTATTAATTAAATATTTACGTTACTATTAAGTATTTAAATTAACTTACAGGCACCTCACATAACATCCAATAAAAGAAAAAATAATCCGAATATTCACGGTCACAGTTTTATGGAATAGATTTTTCTGATTAAAATGAGAAAAAACTCTCACAAGGAGTTTGGTGATTCTCAAAAATTGAGTCATCATTAGCAGACACGCAGAATGCTGTCTCCTACTACTCTTTTTCAAACTCTTGGCCTGTATCTTTTTATACGACTTAAATATGAAACCAAAAATTAAACTTTTTCTTTCTTTTTATACTTGGCACTCATGTCAAGTATCATTCCTGTATAAAAACTACACAAACCTTCACCAAAACATTACTTCTGTTCTTAGGACTCACGCGTTCAATTGCAAATGAGAAACGTTATAGTTCGAAGAATCTCCAAGTAGCAGAACTAAAAATTTCAAAATTATGTAAGCAAAGTTCAGGCATTCAAACACAGTAAATCAATTGAGCCTGCTCTGAAACCCCCAGGAAAACATCATGCAAAACTAAAGAGGTATTATTATAATGTACTATGATGCAATAAAACTGACACACTTAGCTACTGACTTCAGCAATCTCAGTCACAGCAATTAATTTAAGAGTCACTTACCTTTTCTTGTACACATCTGGATAAATAGTGTAATCCTCTTTCCCTTCTCATTTTGCCGCCTCCACTACTCATTCCTGAGGACAGACCATTGGATGCGGCAGTACCGAAGTTGTAGCTGGTCACATTTCTAGTAGTTTCACATTTCACACCGCTCACATTTCTGTAGCTGGTCACACAACAGTACAGAAGTTGGGAGAAAAAAAAAGAGAAAAAAAAAATAATCAGACCATTTTTTTCAAGACATTATAGCTGTTATTAGTCCTAGAATTGAAACCTGCTAATCAGAAAAAAACGAAAGCTGTCTCACAAGTTGCTACATGCTGGTAAATACTTGATGTTCTAAATAGGAAAATCTTTATTAACAGCAGCAATGAAAAGGACATACATAAGCGCACCGTTCATACGGGAACAACGACTAAGCCAGAAGACCTGAAATAGAAGAGCTGATTTAGATTGCTATTTTCCAACGCTTCCTTTAAACAGGACTGGTTCTCTGATTCTGCGATGAACATGCATCTTTGCAAGGATATAAAAGAACAACTCACGAAAATATAGAAAGAGTGCTCATATGCATACACACACGGGACACGCTGCCAACAGCTATGATAGAACAGAGAGGCCGCAGACTTGTGTGGCAAGGTAATACAGCATAAGCTTCAGAAGCAGCTCTGGCTTTCATGTGGCCATCAGCAGCAACAGCAGAGGTGTTTGGGTGTGCCAACATTCCAGTCTTTTCAGACATGAATAGAGATCCCTTTTGTAAGGCACACAAAGGCATTTTTCTGTTACTTAGAAAAGCCTAGACCAAAACCAGAAAGATTTCCTCATCTCAGTGGAAACAGGGAAAAAAATATCCCAAACCAGAAGTGAAATAGGGAATAGCACTAATAAAAGCACTATGGCAAGAAAATGAAGTCTGCCTGGAAAAACTGTGACATCAAAGCTTATCTTGCAGCCAATCAGGAAGTACAAAAGTGCATTAGATCACACTGGAAGACACCAGCTCAAACTTCCAGAAGTCTGAGGAGGAGAACTGGTCTAAACTTGTCAAATACTTGACAACAGCCTGCTTAGCACTCTGACTGCATAGAGGAAGACAGATTCCTAAGGCATATGCTCAGACTTCTCTCTAATCCAAACTGTCAATCAATTAGAACACTGAAAAAAAGTCTTACATCAGAATAGGTCTTTATTCGGACAAGTATCCTTTGCCCATAATAGCCCATATTCCTCTTTCTGTTAACGCCTGTCAGCTTCAAGGGGGCAAAGACAATTGTCAGCCTTCAAGCAAGTCTGATCTACAATTGGACTCAGGCTTAACAAAAAAAATTATATATATATATATGTATACACACACACACACATATATAGCATTGGTGGGCCAGAGATTTACTGAATATTCCAACTCAGCTGTCCAAAGGGACTCTTGCCAGCAGATCATTGTGGTGCTCCTGCTCCAGAACATGGCACCCAACAGAGACCAGCACCACAAAAAACACTACCACCACTACCTACTCTACAAACAAAAGGTAGGGCACTGCAATGGACTGTGTCAACAAAATCAAAAGCAGTATGAGTTTTCTGGATCTCCTTCCTACATGGAGAAGTAGAAAGGAGTGCTAACAAAGATAATTCAGAACAGTTTGAAAAAAACATAATTAAAACCCAGCAGCTGTTTGCACCTGTACCAGAACCTTAAAGCCAGTCGCTTCCACCCCTAAAAAGGCGGTGGTTGTGAAGTCGAACTTTTAGATGCCAAGACAAAAACGTTGAGTTCTTTCTGCAAGCCAAAGAATGCCCACGGTCACATAAGAATTGCTTGGCAGATGAGCAGAGTCAGCAAAATTCCCTGCTACTGTTCTTGGAAAAGAGCAACCCCCTAAAAAGGTAGGGTGCAAAATGTCCGAACTCAAGCGTTATTACCCCAAACACCATTTGCCCAGAAGGGAAAGCCATCAATATTATCTGGAGGATAACTCATCCTAACCCTAACCAACTAACTCATTAATTAACATCCTAAACCAAGAAAGCAGTATAACACAAAGCAGTCTCCTCAAGAAGAAGTTCAGTTAATTCTTCTGGATTTAGTTTTTTTATTTTAGAGACGAGTTAGCATTTGGCCTCAAATGATTCTAAACAACACAGGGTCTTCATGTGAACTCAGAGCAAACAATTAACTTCATCATGAAAGGAGCATTAAAAATAAATAAATACTAATAAATCTTCTTCCAGGTTTTTGCTTAAAAAATAAAGAAAAAAAAACTGTGACTCACTTCGCCTACTTTACCTTCTAAAGAATACTTCAGAAAGAATCATTCCATGAGGACAGAGCTTTCAAACTCCCAGCAATTAACTAGCTAAAACTAATAGCTTTTCCCCTAGGGAACATTAAGAGGGACAAGTTGTTTTGTTATAAATAAACTGACATACAAACTATGAAATAGCTGTCACAGCAAAATTTGTAACACTAAAGATTTAGTTAAACTACAAAACGATCCCTATTTCCTAGAGAAGGAAAAAATTAGGCCTCCAAAAGCACAGAGCCTTTCCGTGGATACAGCATTATAGCCTGCCTTGTTTCCCATCTTCACATCCTACTCAGAAGATAAACTTGGCATAAAAAGTGGTGTATCAGTCATGTATCAGTCATTTTATTATTGTTCATCTTCATTCTTTTCATAAAAGCAACAATTTTCTCAAAGTTACACTGGTCTTCAAACACAATCTGGACTTCGCTGTTCCCTCAAAATACAAAGTTTTCCTTGCATTTCCCATTCCTTTTACTGACAACTGTCACCACCTTTCCAAAAAGGCAAGCATGCAGACTGTACTGAAAAGGAGATTTCTTTCTTCCTTCAAGTAAGTTTTAAATGAATAAATGTCATACCTTCCACATTGTTCTGCTTGCTGTCTCACAGGCGAAGTCTTCTCTCTCATCCACTGCAAGTTAAATTTATTTCAAGATTTAGCTGAATAGATACAGAATACACAAAGTACCCAAAACCACTTATGTGTTGGTGTTGGTTTTTTAAAATTTATTTATTTTTAATTTTATAGCACTGAATAAGCCTCACCTACTTAACCTTGTTCCCTAATTCAGCATTGTGGATGCAGTTCAGTTAAACTTTGGGGCTAAAGTGAGCATCACTGCTTCACTCAGCACTGAGGACAAACTGATAGAACACTAAATCAAATTTGTCAAATTCTCTACCAAAGAAAGTAATTATTTTAAACAACATGACAAAAATTGTGTACATGTGGGGCCGAGTTTACCAGCCCCGTAAAAGGGACATACTTTTCTGTTTTCTATCATTTATTATCAACAAGCAAGCAAAAAAAAAAAAAAAAAAAAAGTAAATTAGATATCCCAGGAACTTCAAAGCTGTTAACTACACTGTCTAGTGCCCAGGCACCTTCAGAGCTTAGCGATAAGAGACGGAGGGTTTGGTGGGCTGTAATTCTGATCACAAGCACACAAAACAGATCTATTTCAGTACTTCTACAAACTGACTTATTGACAAAAGTTGTAGGGGGAAGGATGAGAAAAACAGCCGGTAGGGATCAGAATCAGAGGTATAACCTCATGTTAAAATCGCCTCCATCGCTTTCGTGTCTCCCCAACTGCGTCACAGAGAGACAATTCACATTAAAGCACAGAGCCTTCTGCAGAGCGGGCATCACATTGAAAACAAACTGAAATCAATTGACAAATGCTCTAAGCAAGCTATTTACCCAAAGTTCATCCTGTTATGTTACGGGCATTTGCACGGTTCATATGGCTACAAAGTTATCAGCTATAATAAATAATATTAATAAATATAATATTATAATAAATAACATAATAAACGCACACGTATAGCGTCTATCAGTTTGCCTATTTATCAAATCATTACAATTTTTTCCCCGATAAGTTGCTGTTAATTTGATCTGCGTTGGATGTGCAGCATCCGTTCTCTGTGCAGAATCCCCCAGATATCCCCAAGCACCTCTTTGCTCTGGCACACTGCTTCAATAAACCTACTGGAAAACACCCAGAGATAACAGGCAATAGCAAAGTTGGAAAACCATCTCCGCTGATTATTAATTCACCTGTAAGGTTTATCAGTTACCTACGCAGCGTCGGCACACGCGAGATACGACACTTTCAACATTAACGTGTTGCTGAAGCCCGAGGTTTCAATGTTTGCTCTGTAAGCGTGGGGAATGTTTTATTGCCCTTCCAGGCCAGCTTTAGATGGACTAGACTGATTGTCAATATACGGTGTAAGGGACTTGGCACTTCTGCGAGTGATAAAAACCTAACTGAGCAGCTATCCATGCATAGTGCTCCCTCGGCTTTGCATATGATACTCAGTTACGTTGCTGATTTCATAGCGGAGAGGTTTTGGCTGAACGAACACGTGCAGAGGGCGTCTGCAGAGCACCTCTCTGGGCGCCTGACATTTCTTCGCAATGAGCTGCTGGCAGGGATCTCAGCGTGTCCCCCCTCCAGCACGGGGATTTTCACACCCTGAATTTACAGAATTTGCATTCACCGTCAACCTACCGGACCCTCCCGCACGAAGGAGAAGTAAAGCCTGGCAGGTAACGTGCAGAGAATTTACGAGGGGGCGAGGCGGGGTGCAGGGAGTGGGGAAAGCCCTGGAGGTCCTGAGGGCAGTGGGCTGGGGATGAAAGGGAGGGTGAGGAGGGGGGTAAAAGGCTGGGTAAAGCGATAAGGGGGATAGTGAGGGGCCGAGGGGGTAACTAGGCAGTTGCGGGGGGTTGCTGGGGGGGGGTAACTAAGGGCAGTAACTAAGTGGTTGAGGGGGTAACTAGGGGGGTACAGGGGTGGCTGGAGCGTGATTAAGGGAATAAAGGGGGAAAGTAAGGTGCTGAAGGGGTAACTAAGGGGGTAAGGAGGTGGCTAGGGGGTGATTAAGGGGATCTGTAAGGGGCCGAGGGGATAACTGAGGGGGTAACTAGGCAGTTGAAGGAGGTAACTAAGGGGATAAGGAGGTGGGTAGGGGGTGATTAAGGGATAAAGAGGAAGTTGAGGGGGTCAGGAAGGGGCTAGAAGGCGTACTAAGGGGGGTTAGTAAAGGGTTGGGGGGGTAACTGGGGGGGTAACTGGGGGGGTAACTGGACAGTTGAGGGGGTAATTAAGGGGATAAGGAGGTGGGTACAGGGCAATTAAAGGGATAAAGGGGCGGGTGAGGGGGTCAGGAAGGGGCTGAGCGATAAGTACACGGGCAACCGAGGCGCTGTGGGGCAGGGCCCGCTGCGTGGGGGCCGCTCCTCACCTGCCTAAACCGGGGGTAGGGGGCCCTCGCGGCGCCCCAACGGTGGCGCCGCCTCTTCATCTTGCTGCCAGCCGCAGCAACTTCTCCTCCTCCTCCTCCTCCTCCTCCTCCTCCTCCTCCTCCAAGCGCTCCGGCTCCGGCTCCGGCTCCGGCTCCGGCTCCGGCTCCCGCTCCGGCGCGGCCGCACCGCCACCGCCGCCGCCTCCGCCGCACCCGCCGCCGGCCGAGCCCTCCGCGGCCGTTCCGCCGCCGGCCGTTGGGCCGCCCGAGGCCATGCCGCCGCGCCCCTCGCTCTGTGCCGTCACACGCCCCCCGCCCGGTCCCGGTCCCGGTCCCGTCCCGTCCCTCGCCCTCCCCGCTCCGCCGCTCGCCTCACGCGGCCAATTGGGGCAGGCGATGGCGGCTCCCGTCAGCGCGGTGCGCGCCGCGCCTCACCCGCCCGCGACGGCCCCGGCCCCGGCCCCGGCCTCGCGAGAGGGGAGGGAGGGGAGGAGGAGGCGGGGCCGCGCGGGAAAGCGCGAAGTGAGGGGACGGGGACGGGGACGGGGACGGGGAGGGGAGCGGGGCTGCCTCACCTCAGGGATGGCGGCCTCGGGGAGCGGCCGCCATAAGAAAAGCCGGCCCGGACAGCACGAGAACGGGGCTAAAAGACGGCCGCGGAGCCTCCCCGCCCCGTGGTGCCGAAGGCTGGGGTGCAGCAGCACCGCGCCGGGGGTGGGACAGCGCCACAACCCCACAGTGCTCGTCAAAAAAGCCCCCCACCGATAACCAGTAACCCCCACACCGATAACCCGCAACCACACCAGTAACAAAAAAAGACCCACACCAGTAGCCCCCACACTGTTAACCCAAGCACACGCAGTGTTTGAGGCTGGGTTCGTGGCCGCCTTGGTCCAGGAAGCGATCGCCACGCTGAATTCTACCATGTGGCACGGGAAACATAGGCACTGTGACGGATTTTCACCACAGAAAATAAATGAAAGTGGTAACGGGGTACACATTGTGCCCTTAATAACACGCATCGGGCAGTGAAATCACTGATTTCCACACCAACGTGCTCAGGGAATCACTCTCAGCCCCCTCCTGCATTGGACATGGAACAGCCGGGCCAACAAAAAACACTTCCCTCCCTCACCTACACCAAACCTATTAAGGCAACCCTATTAAGATAACGTGATTTTTCTCCTCCAGATCAGTGTCAAAGGCAGCTACGCTATGTTTGCTCATAAGTTCAAATGCTGCTTTATTTATTTATTTTAATTCCATTTTTCTTATTTAGAAGGATTTCCATAGGGTGACGGGCCTTTAATGACACTCATGACTCAGAAATATTTGCCGATGCAGTCAAACGGTGTCTATTAACGTGAGTCACTGAAGTTAAGTGGTTAATTGAAGTTAATTGGACCCTCATTACAAAGTCACATGTTAGGGACCAGCCTCTCAAAGGCCAAAAAACAGCACTGATACTTCACATTGTTTCTGCTGGGCCAACACATCTGTAGCACTACCTTTTCAGTTGACAACACAACGAGTGTTTCCACAAAGTACTCGATGCAACCTAACTACTGTGTTTGGTGATGCAAAGCAAGCCATGTCAAAGCAGGCACACACCTGGAAGCTGCCTTGCTGCTCACATTGAAGAAAATAGATTAAAAAAAAAATTGCGCTACAATTGAAGTGGCATCAAACCTTGTAAGGCTCTGAAGCTTCAGCGCTGCCATCCAAATTCAAGGAGGCTGCATCTATTACCTTGAATCTGCCCCAGCTCAATCCCCTGAAACAATTCCAAATACACATACAAGCAACCCTTTTCCCACCCAGATTTCTTTGCTTCATCTATTCCACCTCTAACTCCTGTCTTATTAATCTGCCCCTCTAAAGACTCACTGGCTCACACAAGGAAGCAACCCACCAAGCCCCTGATTCCCCGCCACATTGCTTCCATGCTTTGGGAAGATCTAACTGCAACGGCTCAAACTGTGATGCCACCTCACCCACCTCACCCCCTCCGCCTACGTGAGGTTCCTTGCCTTCTGTCTCTTCCTACATGTACACCGGCACTAGAACCACGAAGAACATGTTTCCTGTAACACTCCAAAAGCCTTTTCTGTTTCAGGATGTCGTCATTTCAATTCAGGACTGAAAACACTCCTAGCAAAAACCCAACAGCTAATGGCAAACAGAAGCTGTTTCTGCTGATCAGCTAGAAGTAACCTCTAAGTACTGAGGAGTCACAAAGGAGAATTTGTATTACATTCAAGAACAGCACCCAGCTTACGACTGCTACTTTCCCTAACTACACTAAGCCATAAGAATTTGATTCTTACCTGCCATCACAGTAATTATGGTTTATATTGCCCCCAAAACACACAGGGCAGTACCAAAGCTGTGTCAGCTAGGTTTAACAGCTTCCACAGCTATTAAGTACAGTAATTTCTGCTTCCTTTTTTTTCTTGGAAGAATATTCTTTTGTTTCCAGCCTCAGTTAATTATTATATACACTGTTAATTAGCAACTACTTCTCAATACTCATAGGGTTATGGAGTCCCTATGACTGGAAAATACTCTACACCCTTCGAGATGAGAACAGCATATAAAGGCAGCAACTTGCAAGACTGCTCTAGCTTCAAGCAAAGCTTTCCTCATTGCTCTCGTCTCCTTTGACTTGAATACTGTCATCCTTCTACCAAAGCTTTATAAACTTCATTACCATGAATGAAGGAAGACCAGAGAAATTAGAGAGTAGCAGAGGATATAACTTAAGGAGCTGTTACTAGGATTATTTTTTTTTATTGTTCCTGGTGTTATTTTTCCTTCTTTAAGCCAGCAAGCTGTTTTCTCCAAGATTTTTTTTGTTAGGTTAAGAATATGTATTATATTGCAGCAACTTCTTTGCTGTAAGTCAGCTGAGAAGTCTACCAGTAAGAAGGTCAAGGGAAAGCTGAATGCTGATGCAGAGTGCCAACAGACTTCATCCTCGTTCCATGGGATGTTTGTAGCTATGGCAGTTCAAGTCTATGCTTCCATATGCTTAAAATACCAGATTTAGAAGCCAATTTCAGCTGACCTAGCAGATATCAGCAGTACAGTTAGAGCCAGCAGCCTGCAGGAAGGAGCAGACAGCTGTTTCCACAGCAAGGCCTGTAAGTGTCTCCCATACACACTTCCAATCTAAGCAAGCACATGAAGGGCTTGGCTTGTCACTTACCTAAGTGACCAGGAAAACAAGTGAAAACGAGATTTTGCTTGTGTCCTAACACCCATATAAAAATAAAGGCAGATGAAATACCCTTACTACCTTGTTAAGTTTCACAAGCCAGAAGAGAACGTGCTGCACACAGGTACCAGTAAAATCCCTTGCTGGCAGGTTTGCAGAAACAAATTTTTATTTACACAGGCAAGTCTATCTTTAGACCCCATTTAACTCTTTACATTTCTAGAATATTTACATGATTTCATGATGCTCCAAGAAGAGAGTGATGAACAAAAAGATTACAGAAACTGTCAAAAGCATAGCAAAAAAACCCCAACCTATCATTGTGCTTTAAAACTTATGAGCTAGAATAACGTAGAAGAAATGTAGTTTTAGCACCTTGTTCATAACGGTCATGCTATATAAGACACTTAAATAGCAGAGGGGATTTCAGAAGTGACCGTATCCAGAGGTTGCCAGTGACAATTCATGAGTGAATCGTAGAGTTCTTCGCTTGTCTCCATAAACTGTCTGTTCATTTCATCAACATCCAAGTAGAGCTGTGGATCTGAAAATAAAAGCCTGGTAAGTACAAGTATCGGATCTGAGGCATGCACACAAAAAACACTCATGTGAAATGGCTGATAAGATGTATTTTAAGCTATATGTAATAAGCTATTAGATCTACTTATTTTAGTGAGATATTAGTCCTCTAAAATGTTAAACCTCACAACTCCAACTTTTGGGAATCCTACGGGCTAGGACTGCATTATCTTCATCTTGAAAGACGAATAAAGATGACGTTTAAGGATAATCGGCCATGAGACCTTCCCAAGAGCCATTTAATTCACTTCTACTCTAATAGATGTTACACAAGATAGTTTCTCAACGCTGACACAAAATGCCTCCACGTGAAAAACTCTGCAAACCTTCCAGGACACAATTACGTTTTGTACCAAATTTGTAAGAGCAAGCCGAATCCTCCTTTTGGAATCTGCAACATAAGCTTTTACCTCGGGGTGGAGAACAAAGCTTTTGCGTATTATTGAGTTTCTAATATAGAATCTGCTTAGTGGAATCAATATGAAGAACAAAAATTCTGTGTTAGACCATTTTCAAAGGGGAAGGAAGGCACAGTTACACGAAACTAGCTGCGAAGCACTGACAGCGTCCCATTTTCCTTGATGCACTCAGTGTATGCGTATCAGCTTTAAAACCCCAACTGATTGCATGCAGATCAACCCCACAGAGGTTTGACCTTTGCATCAGCTGAATTTTCAAGATGTTCTTCATCCAGTAGAGGTTGGCTTGTACTGTTAAAAGGCACAAGTATGGCTACACTCAAGTCACAATGATAGAACCCTTGTTACCTTCAGTCATTAGGTCATCACTGATTTCAGTCATAACTGAAGATTCCTGAAAGACAGAAAAGGCTAAGTTTAATCATAACGCATTTCAGAAAGCATCAGATTCAAAGTGCTGCATTCTCAACCCATTCCTTCTTCCTACGACTACAGGGGTAGATGGCATTTCATATTTATTTTTAAAAGAAAGCCAATATTACAGTACAGGTCAGAAGGCACTTCTGGAGGTCACAACTGATAAACTGACCACGATCAGACCACTTACAGCAACTGTTTAATTTGCATTAAGCAAAGCAAATCAGAAGAACAGGAACAGAATTGTATACAGTTATGCCGTCAAAACCATTATTTGGTATACATGAACAAAAAATGGTGTATAAATCACTAATTCTATGGATTTAATATTTAAGCACTTAAATCCATACACCTCTGAATGGAACCTGCTGTTTTAACCTTCACACTAAGCAGAAAGCATGTTTTCAGCTTGGATTTTTTTTTTTTTTTTTTTTTTTTTTTTTTTTTTTTGCTGATTCACACAAATCTGCACCGCTTATTATCTGTGAAATAGCAACAAAAAAATACTTCATAGCAAGTGTGCAGTATCTTTACCTCAAAAAGAGCTGGAGCCATTACAGCATCTCCTAAAGAGCAGTCTCCAACAGCCTGCATGCTGTCATAGGGAGCATAAGGAGCTGTAGTTGTACTCAGCATAAGCATCGTAACTCCACTGCGAGTAGTAGTTCTGATAATCTTGGTAATAATCATTATAGTTGTATGACTGGTACCGCTGGAATTCTGCTTTCAGTCTGAAACACGAGAAGTTGCATACAGTTAGAGAACAAACTCTAAACCCAGTTCTGAACTTAAACAATTTGTCAGCTTCCGTACTTCAAAGTTTAAAGGAAGCTTTCCTAAAAGCTGTCACTTAGGTGACT